GTATTCGTATTTATTTTTTAATAGGGAATATACAACGTTAATAATATAAAACAATTATTGCTCTACTCCTTACAAGTCGTAGTAGACACAGCACGAATTCCCAAATGACACAATCCTGTGTCTCTTTGTAACAAAGCACAATCTCTGAATTCAGAAATACCCTATGTTCATGTTTACCCCTTCTTTCCCTACATGTCTGGTTCTGTTCGCAATGTATATTTGTTTTGTTGTAGAATTTTGTTCAATTTTCAGAGTTTTGCGTAACACCATATTGTTCTGTAACACATTTTTAGTTATTTGAAGAACTCGTAACGATCTACTAGCTATTAGGGATGTGATATCATCTCATACTGTATAAAAATCGATTCGGTACAAAACTATTATTGACTAATTTTTTTTCTTCTGATTTTTTTTTCCATAATCGATAATTTCTTCACATTCCTATTACCTATAGAATAATAGTTTAAATTCGTGGGGTGTTTTATGTGACTAATGACAAACAAGCTGGTAACCCAGTTGATATGATAAATAGTAACTTTCTCGTATATAATAAAATCTATACATATAAATAAAATTGGTGTGTCTGTTTGTAATATTGAAATAACCGTTTTTTACTACATGTATATGAATATAGGGCACATACACCAAAATATCTTTTTTTTTCATTTTTGTCTGTCTGTCTGTCTGTATATACCAATATAAACAGTATCAGGGACATCACGTTGTCATTGAAACCTTTGTTATCATTTCAGAGGACAAAAGTGTTATGGCATGGTACCGCATGTAATTTTACTGCTAAAGCTCACTTTTCTAACTGAAACACGGCTGCAAACCAAGCTGCTTGGAGTGCTTGGGAGGAAGTGGATTGATGATCTTATTGCTAGCAATATACCATGTCAGGTTGACCTCCACGCGGTTCCTCCTAGAAACCATCATGATAAATTCTTCGTGAATTTGTCACGATGGGCTAACTGACTTGACCTCATCTTCGTTTTATCATACTCCATTCCATTAAATAAATAAAAGAACTCTTCAATCTGAAACACATCTTACAAACCAATACCGCTGCTTAGTGATGGATAGAAATAGGTGAAACAGAGATACGCAAACGACTTTATACAAAGTGTACTTCGGTAAATGATGGGTGTTAGTGGGTTTACGCCCTGTTAGCCTCTAACAACCTTCGCCCAACCACTGAGGTGTTGTATCTAATATGTGGAAACAAGGGTGCATATAGAATGAGGAAAATTTCAAGCAACCACTTTAATACAGTTATGGCAATCTCTAACTAAATTGTTAGGGCTGTCAGTTAACTTGTATGCAAATATGAATGCCAATTATGTTGGTTATTAGGATCAGTGTAATTCGGTTCTTAGTTATGTTCATCTATCATCCATTTATGGGATAGCTGATAAATAATACCTTTTGACTGTAGCCTAAATTAATGATCTATTTGTTAATAATAATTGTAAATAATGTACAATTTATGGAATGCTATAGTGGCGATAAATCATTAAATTTATGCTCAAGTTTATCTATCACTATTATAGCTAAGTTATTTGGACTAAATTCTAATTTGTTTGTTTGTATATTATAATATTTAACTGATTAAAAAAAATGTATAGTTAATTATATTTTTATACATAGGTATCTAGACATCTACAATATCAGCTAGTAACAGCCTGCATTAGATGTGGGTGGCGACGCGATGCTAGATTCAGTTAGTTATAGTCTTGTTTACATACATACTTGTTACATTTTCCTATATAAATTAAAGTCGTTGGGTTGGTGATAGAAGGGTGAAAGTGGGTTTAGGTTTATGTATTTTTAATGCCACACCATAAAATGTTGTCCAAAAAATTAAAAAAATATTTTGTGGTGGACAAGCCTTATCACTTAGGGGTATAAAAAAGAAATAGTAGCCGATTCCCAGATCTACTGAATATGCATATAAAATTTCATAAAAATCGGTCAAACCGATTCGGAGGAGTATGGTAACTAACATTGTGACACGAGAATTTTATATATAAGAATAATATTTCTTTTAAATTGCACAATGGATTTTTATGCAGTTTTCAGCAATAGATAGAGTGATTCAAGAGCTAAAGCAAGATTGAAATAGAATAGAATAAAGCAATATTTAGAAAAAAAAATTGTGCATCTGTCTGTACCCTTAGCTATTTTAATGTTGTTTTCAGCATGAGATCGAATGATTCAAGATTCAAGATTTGTATACGAAATACATGCACATACGAGCGAAGCCGGGGAGGCTACTATTTGGATGAGGAGACAGTTCTATATACTTATTCCCTTCTTGGCTTGTTAGCAACGTTTCTTGTTACTAATTCACAACTGTAGTTTACGATAGCAAACTTCTTATCATAAAGTCAAGTCATGAATTGCAAGAAACAAAGTTGCAGTTGATTTGTTTTGATCAACTCGCACAGTAAAGTCGACACGAGATCTACGCAACTTGATAGGTTTATCTATAAAGCCTGCCATCGGCTAGACTCCAAACGATATCCAAACAAACAACCACAACATAATAATAATAATAATATCTTAGGAAATTCACACTAAATCATCGAGTCCTAAACTAAGCAAGAACTTGTGTTATGAATACTAGACATCTGATACAAATACATTTTTTTTAAATTAATACATAATATACATAGAAAACATTGTATAATTTAGTACTATTATTATAAGTATTTTTTATTTCGTAAAATATATATATAAGTGTTTACATTGTTATTAACATGACCATAAAGTAAGCACAATAACAAAGAAATCAGTAAAAACTTGATTTTATCTAGAAAGTTTGTCCCAACTCAATTAAGTATTCTCAAAGGAAAACATAGGACGAAACAAATTAAGTATTTATATAAGTTCCCAGCGACCTACCATTTTATTTTTCAAGAAAATATTTAATTAAAATACCATTATGTACCTACTCTCTATTAATTAACATACTCACCTATTTCTGAACACTCCTCTTTGTGATTTTAATTAATAGCGGTAGAAGATGGTGTAAATACTTTGTTTTCAAATATTAGGTTTATAGCAGAATCGAATCCAGATCTTGTAATTTATAATTCATGCATTGTATTTAGACAATAGAGATAATAGATAAAATTATTAAAAGGAACAAATTTTTATAAAATGAAAACGCAGTCATTATATTATAAAATGATTTTATTACGTGGCTTATATGCTATTCTTTATAAAATTACTAATAATCAATTTCTTATACATTAATAGTTTGATACATACAAGTAGCTATATTACCTACAATTTTGTTTAATCAGATACCCAGGTATAGTAATCAGATGTATTTTTGTACCATTATATATTACACAATTATTTCGTTAAAGTTGATACAATTTTCATTTATATCCTGTATTTATTAGTTTAAAATGCAGACATGTTTACATTCTATTTAATAATATAAATATTTTGCCCTAAATAGGCCCTTAGTCTTTTTAACCCCCTAACCCCTAGGATAGACGATCAATTGTTTGACAGATAAGAAAATGTAAATTTTCAGTATTGATTACTCTAAGCAGTAAAAGGAACATTACAGAAAAAATATATAGAAAACATAAACGATTTCTCAAAAACTGTTGAATTTAAAATGAAAAACCTTATATTCAGAAACAAATCAAAAACCACTAAATAGAAATTCTGATAACTGTCTGGGTTGAAATCCAATTTCAACGAATTGGGTTCCATTCAATACTATTTTTCTACAAAACATTGTAGATATAATGAATAGAATAGTTCAATAAATCAACAGTCTACATCTTTAAAATAGTTTCGTGGACGAATTTATTAGTTAATAAATTACGAATAACAAAATATAGAGAATCACAGCCATTCCCTACATAACATGGCGTAAACAAATGAACAATAAAATTAATTTACTTAAAATTAACTATTATTTATAATAATACTTCTCATAACTGAGTCTGTTACATTATTTATATATTATGATATTATAATAATAAAATTATAATAATGGAATTCATTGCACAAATACATGTATAATATTTATCTTATAAATTATACTAAATGGAACAGATCTATTTTAAATTTATACTTCTTATTTCATAAAAGCCACGATTTTAAAGTAACGAGTAGCAAACAAGCTGACATCCCAACGGGTGGTAAGTGGGAACTGTCGCTTATTTACATGAAGCGTAACATGTGATCACATGTGACGCCAGATATACCTGACACTCTAGAGGACTAAGATACTACGCCTAGGTACCTTATAATCATTACTGCTATATCTCACCAAAACACAGCCTGCAAAAAAGCTGCTGTTCGGCCGGCTGTAAGTGGTGAGATAGATAGTATAGAGATAGAAGTACCCACACAGACTTTGTACAGTCTGTTTTGTCTGTGGTGCGGCACAAATTCAAATTCGTTACTATATAACAACTATTAAATATAAATGCAAAAGTAACCACTAAATTGTCATGTCATCTTCTTCCTACAAGAGGTAAAGTGGAAACTGGAAATAATTTTCATATAAAACTGCATAGTCATATAAACAATTTAGTATGAGAAGTATGAAATTTCCAGATTTCCCATTTCATTTCTTGGAGAAATTGGTCCAGCTTTATGAGTATTCTTCTATTAGTCTTTAGATTTGGCATACTCTTTACAAGTAACTCTGTATATAGTTATATATTGTAATAATTCTTGTCTTTACTACTATAAATATAGTACTTGCCTTTATTTTGAAAAAATTTAATCATAAGTGGATTTTATAATAAAAAATATAATATACTCAAGTATAATGAGTAATAGAAACAAAAATTAATGACTTACTTCTAAACAGGACACATACATAGTAAAATACAATATAAATTTATGCATAAGCACATTTATAAATATATCACTGAGACAGATGGACGGACGAATCCATGTCCCCCATAACGATAACAACGATTATATGAATCGGCTAATGCCGATTATTTAAATCTAATGATTTAAATAATTTTCCATAGTATATAAGAATTAAATAATATATTGGCGACAGATATACATCTGTAGTAGAGTAGGTAAAACACTCACGAAATTTTCACTGTTTTTTCGCGTAGGTTCTTCGCTGCTTGGAAAGTATTGTGCATGAGCATAGCTACCGTCATAGGGCCTACTCCACCAGGAACTGGGGTCACTGCACCGGCGATTTTGATCACCTCTATTTAATAAAAAAATTGTTTGATGTTGAAATATGTCATTCAAATATAGCCCTCAATATAAAAATATTCAGTTAAGAATTTAAATTATTTCCATAGTTAATATTTATTTGATAGTATATTGAATAAGTATTACATTTAAAATAAGAAGGCTTATTAAATAGTTATTTGTACATAGAAAATAACATAAATTTTATAGAATATTAAAAAATCACTACTTACCATCATAGTCGACATCTCCAACCAGCTTGGTTTTCCCCTCAGCGTCAGTAATCCTCGTAATGCCAACGTCAATTACTGTGGCGCCAGGTTTAATCATGTTTGCCTTAACAAGGCCTGGAATACCTAGGAATAATATTATGAAAATTGTTAAATTATGCTGCTTTATTCATTTAAGCTATATATATCCATATAATTACAATTTTTATTTTAAGTTAAGACTAATTTGTTTTCTTTATATATATATATGGCCCATGGCTTTACCCACATTATGCTGCTTATTATAGTTCATTTATTAAATTGAAATTAAATTACAGCTTATTTTCATAATCTCACTGTAAGTGAAAGATCTCTTTTCATTCTTACCATTTTTTTTATTTCTGAATGAAATTAAACTCTAAAAATATATAAATGATTAAAAATATACAAGTAAAAATATAGTAACTATTTTTATTTACTTGTATAGTTTTAGTTAACTTAATTTATAGATATAATTAAAAAAAAACACTCACGCATTGTTATTTCAAAGCATTTTTTCTAACAAATACAATAACACCAAAAGTAAACAAATTTATATATACTTATAACCTAGACAACGATTCATCCCTGACAACTATGACGACACCGGAGGCAGAAGTTAATAATAAAAAATAAAATAATATAAATAAATAAATATTACCTGTGGCACTAATGATAATGTCGGCATTTTGACAGAAAAATTCTAGATCATTTTTCGGAGTGTATCTATGGCATATTGTTACTGTGGCGTCCATTCCCAAGCCGCTTTCGTGTTTTTTGTCTGTATGTAACATTATAGCTATGGGCATTCCTACATTTTTGGAACGACCAATAACAACTGCTTTGCGACCGTGAGTTTCAATGCCACTTCTGTAAAAAAGAACTAATTTAGCGAAGAATACTACTTCCCCATTCCCTCAAAATTAAGATTGCCTGGGACTAGTTTGGAACCCCTAGCGTTGCCCAGACTAGCGTAGTGCCATCTACACTGGCACTCATTTTCGTTTAGCGTAGCTTAAAGGCCAACTTTGGCCAACAGCATTAGAATACTTAAAAGCAATGTAACATTTCTCAAATACACCTAATTGTACTCCAATTTAAAGGATAACATATGAAAAATTGGAGAGTCTATGTACTCTGAACTAAATAACTTCATCTTCAGGAATGGCATGGAGATACCATAAGGTTACAATGTAGCTATATTGTGACAAACAAGATGGTACATGAATGAAACCGACACGGCTTTTCTAATTTCTACGGCAACGCTCTCAGCTGATTTGCCGTTCCTACACATAAATTATGTAAGGTAGTCAAATAAAAAGAAATCTAAAACAAAAATAATTACCTCTTAATCATTTCAACTACACCGAGAGCAGTTGCAGGCACTATGGTTTTCATATCAAGACAAAGTTGACCAACATTAACTATATGAAAACCGTCCACGTCTTTATGCGGTGATACTGCATTGCACACTTTTCTTTCATCCATGGTATCAGGCACTGGTAATTGAATCAGTATTCCATCAACTATATCACTCTCATTTAACTCCTTGATTTTATCAAGAAGAAACTCTTCAGTGATAGTGCTCTCAAATTTTATGGTTTCCGCATTAATTCCACAGTATTGTGCTGCTAGTACTTTGTTCTTTACATATGTGTGGCTTGCTGGATCATCACCAACAATGATGCAACACAGTGATGGTGCTCTATATCCTTCCTTCACCCATTCTTGAATCTGTATTTTCAATTCATCTTTGATATCTTTAGCAATCTTTTTTCCATCTAGGATCTTGGCCATGATTCTGTTCGAAAATGTGTTATAAAATAAATTAATGTGAAAGAAATTAAATCTAAGTAAGAATCTAAATTAAAATCTCTAGAATTGGTGAATTGTAATGGTATTTTAAAGTAATTCGTCTAATACATTATATATCTTATATGTAATCTAATGTATAATAAACAGCAATAATTAAAAGAGTTAGACACTTTTTAACTGGACATGCTAATAAAAATAATAAAATTATAGTAGTAAAATATAAAAATATCATTACTAAAAATGAGTTTGATAGATGTATTACAATATAAATTAATTTAGAATCTCATATTAAATCAATTAGCATTGTCATTCTAGATCCCTCGCTCTAATAAGGACTAGATAAGATAAAAATAAGATAAGGTATTAGTGTTAACACTCTAAATAAAAAAGATAGTTATGTTGTAAGCACTGAGCACTATAATTTCTATGAGAACTATTACAAAACCACAAGCATTAGGCTTCTTTTTCTAAGGAAAAATAAATTAGGAACTCTAATAATAGCCTGAACACAAAAACAAAATCAAAGCTGACAGTGAATTTAAAATTAAAGACAATAAACAACAAATTTCAAAAACATAAATATAATAACACACAGACTCCAAAAAAATACATAAACATAACAACACAAAGCCAGAAAAATAACACTTTTTAACAAATATTTTTACCTGGCCGATCCTATCGACTCAGTATAAGTATGGCTTCTCATTGTGCTTGTCAGAATGGTACTGACTACTCGGAGGCACGATATTTGCCTCATCGCCTACGGCTGATGTACACAGGTCATTAGGTCACACAATACACACAATATTTCATGTTTACTACTGATAACAGGCTGATGAGGCAGAAATAACTCTTACGAATCAAGCGTTGGAGATAATCTCTTAGCCTTAGATATTCCCACAGTAGGGTATTAAACTAAATTGCAAAGTGCGATGATAATGGGATGTGTCAAATACTTCATGTGTAAGTATTAATTTTATAATAGATATAGAATATAAAAAGTGAAACAAAAAATTTTTAATGATGAGACCACTTGAACTTTGAAATCATAATAATATAATATAGAAGACACTATATATTTTCTATTTTATTACCAAGCTGTTTGCTTTGTAACTTGTGTCCCAGGTAAAGAATGACTTTGGGATGTCCAATTACAAAACATTTTAGCCTTCCATAAAGAACAAAATATTAAATGCATGTCTTATAATAGTAGACATATGCAATTTACCACTGGATTAGCTTATTATATTGTAGCTCTTTAAATTAGAAAACCCAGTACAGCTATTCAAAACATTTCTTTCCATAGCATTTATTCCTACATTATTTCATTAATTCTGTATTTAGTGTAAAATTAATACAATAAAAAAAATGTAATCAATCTCCATGGCCTTAAAAGTTTAGGAACCACAGATCTGGAGCATTTCATGTGATATGGGGTTACAGAGTTCAATATATATCAGAATTAACAGTAATACATAAACCAGTTGCAACTAGTGTTCAATACTTGATAGTGATATGGAAAGGATAAACTGAATATTTCCAGTTACAAGTAAAGACAAATTAATTAATCATATTTGTGTCAATGAACAAATAAGACTATAGTTTATATATATGTAACACTTATAAAATATAAACTAATATTATAACCACAAAGTAAGCCTGTTTGTTACCATTTCATGACTAAAGTACTTCAATGACATTTTATAAGAATATAGTTTTTTTAATTAATTATAATGGAATGTTGCACCTGTCTGTGCTCACTATTTATGCTTGTAGGGTGTCACAGGAGGATGACAAGAACATGAGGTGAGGTCAGTTAGCTCATCATGAAAAAATCACCAGGTATTTACCGGGATGGTTTCCAGGAGGGACCATATGGAGATAAAGCTGACAACAATGTACCATTGCTAGCAACATGCCATGTAAGTCCACATTACTGACAATCCTCTATTCCTCCTAAATATATAGATGTACATAACAAATTTAGGTGACGGTTATAGGCTAAATTTTATTTTTAAAAAGTAGTCACAGTCCCAGGTCACAGCTAGTCATACAGGTGAAAAAAGAAATAAATATTTTATTAAACACAGAAACTTAATGCTGCTTACAATAAATTCTGAACAAATGTACTACATGAATAAATGTTTTTTCATTTGATTTGCTTTGATTTGACAGAGTAAGTATGCAATTTACTTTTTACTAATATTATATAAATGCAGAAGTTTGTGATGTTTATAGCACTTTCAACTAAAACTACACCAGATAAACTAAATGGAAATTCAGTACATAGTTAGATTATAACCAAATTTAAGACTTTTCATCTGAACTCACAGTAACAATGCCACAGGATACAGCTAGTAAAATAATTCATGTTTTGAACTATCAGGATGTCATCAGAGCCAACTAGGATACAAAAATACTACAATAGTACAAGATACGAACACTCAATTTAAAACTGTATGCTAATGCTATAAACAATAAAATGTTGATTTAATTAGTGCTTAACCTATATTACTATTCTGAAATTTAATATATATGGTTCATATTTATTAATTTGCATATATTTTCAACATTACATCCCCTTTCTAGATTATATTTTAACATAAAAAAATTGCCTACACCTTCCCGCATGATACAATGAAGGTTAATTTAATTTCATGGGAGAACCATTTAGTTATGAAAAGGTAAAAACAAACAGACAGGCACACTGTCATATTTATAATATTAATATAGACAGTTAAACAAAGCTGACCTAATGACACATGATCACATAATTATGATCTCAGTACATAATGCCACATTCTTTTACAATCACCTAGTAAAAGTGATAAGTTTGAACTAGGTACTTAAATTCTAAATAATCTTGTGCATAAATATTTTAAATAATTGACTTAGGCAATGGACGATTACTTGATGTTTTGCGATTAAAATAATGTGCTTTTTTTAATTGTTGATATGATTTTGGAATTGTTGACACCTATTTAGTTATTTATTTTTTATTAGCTATACCAGAAACCTGTAAGAGGAGATTGTAAAACATGAAGAACAAGACAATGTTTTCTAATTTTATAAATGTGACAGTTATTTATGGGGATCCTGCTTCCCTTTTTTACTTTCATCCAAAATTCTATGAATTTATTGGCGTTTTAGGTAAGGTATACTTAGTTTTAATTGAGTTCTGTTTGGAAAATAATTCAATAACTCTTCACTCAAAGTAGATACTGTCCTCTATAACGTACTAATGAAATAGATTATTTCTTTATATTTGCATGCCGATTAATGAGAGGTTATATGAATAATTGCTTATGACTTACCTAAATGAATGGAGATCAAAATCACAAAGTAGTAACTAATCTATCGTAATTTCCAATGCAGTAGTAATCATGAAATATTTTGTGTAATATAATTTATAATTTTTATAAATAATAAATGGAAAGGATTTGTCAGTGGCTTATGTTAATTGTTATGGAATTACGGAATGGAAATGACTTTGAAGTAGCACGTCTCACGTCAAATAAACGACGTGTCATTTTGACATTTTTCAAAAAGGTTTGGAAAGAGTTGCCAACCGTTCGAGAAATGTGTTATTTCATAATATGAGATCGAGGTTATCATACGAATACAATTTTATGTAAGATATTGACTTACGGAAATTCATGCAATTCAATTATTACACTATATTTATTGCATTCTATTTGAGACCAATAACTGTTACAAGTAGAACTCCAGCATTGCAGCAACAGTTTGGTCTTGTATCCTTTTCACTTATAGATAAAATACTATCAGATTCGAGTCTACTTAAGTTGAATATTATTTAGTATAGGTATTGGGGACGATGCGCTTTTATTATATAAAAATAATATGATTTTTGATACAAAACGATATAGACCATAAGGAAATATTGGTTTAATTCAACTAAAATGCTAGTAAGATATACATGTTGAAATGTTACAATATGACAAGACAATAAAAAAACAAATCATAGTATTATAAAGAGTTTCTATACTACCACATTCACCCATCCTTATGATTCATAATCATTTAAGTAAACAGGGGGCCTTCTTTCACGAACAGGCCGTTGGGGCGAATGAACTAATTCTGAACCGGAATTATCAGCATTTAAATTTTCATTCTCAGATGCTGTCTGGTAGATCTCGGCATCTGTATCAGAAGGGTTATGAATGGAGTTATACGTTTCATCTTCAGTGACTACTTCTTCAATTTGCCTATTAATTGGCGCTAGATGTCGGTTTGATACTGTATCCTCTCTCCCATCAGCAAAGCGTATTATAGAATAGTTTGGGTTTGATTCCAGCAGTTCCACTTCTTCCACTAAAGGATCATATTTACTTTTTCTTACATTTTTTTTTAATAGTACTGGGCCCGGAATCATTAACCAAGAAGGTAAAGAAACTCCATTACCAGATCGTCTCGGGAAACAGAACATCTTCTCATGTGGTGTAGCATTAGTAGCTGTGCATAATAACGATCGAATTGAGTGCAGCGCTAAAGGCAAGACATCTTCCCAATACCGAATATCTAGGTTTTTGGATCGTAAGGATAATTGTATAGTTCTCCACAGAGTCCCATTCAGTCTTTCGACCTGGCCATTTCCTTCTGGATTATAAGGCGTAGTCCTGCTGCATGCAATATCATTCCTTATTAGGAAATCTTTAAATTCTTGTGACATAAATCCAGTTCCACGGTCTGAATGTACATAGAGAGGAGTTCCAAAAGTAAAGAAAAGATGCTTTAAACTTGCTATTATAGTAGCGGATGATACATCTTTGCAGGGGTAGGCAAAGGGAAATCGAGAAAATTCATCAACAATAGTTAAAATGTATTTATTTTCGGAATTTGAAGGCAACGGCCCTTTGAAGTCTAAACTAAGTCTTTCAAATGGGGACGTCGCTTTAATAAGTCGTCCTTTACTGTTTGCAAATCTTGGCTTTATCTCTGAACAAATAGGACAACTTGCAGTCATATTCTTAATTTCAGTAATCGAATACGGTAAATTCTTAGACCGCACCCAATGAGCCATTCTTGTGATTCCTGGATGGCTTAATGTATTATGAAGCTCATATAAATTTTTGCGTGAAAACATATTAGCACAAACTCTTGACAATGTATCAGATACAATATTTTGTTTACCCGGTCGATATATAATATCAAACTTGAAACAAGATAATTCAAGCCTCCATCTCTCTATTTTCTCGTTCTTAATTTTACTTGAATGTTTTTGATTGAACATGAAGGAAACCGATTGTTGATCCGTTATTAAAAGAAAATGTTTTCCAATTAAATAGTGACGCCATCTACGTAGGCTTTCAACAATTGCCGACGCTTCTTTCTCTATTGAAGAATGGTTTCTTTCGGACTCTGTCAATGAGCGAGAGAAAAATGCTACCGGGCGACTATTTTGTGAAAGTGTTGCTGCTAAGGCATGTTCAGAAGCATCAGTCTCTACAGTAAACATTTGTGTGTCGTCAATAGCAATTAAAGCAGCGTTTGCAATATCTTTCTTAAGACTCTCAAAGGATATTTCTGCATCACGTGATAATGGAAATGAATTATTAGTCGCTAAATTGCTTATTTTCTCTGAATAGTTATTTATCCATTTAGAATAATGTGCAAACATACCTAATACTCTCTTTAGAGAATTTATATCTGTAGGTGCAGGCATGGAGAGTAAAGGTTTAAGACGCTCTTTATCAGGTCTTACAACATTGTTCTCTATAGTATAACCTAATATATTAATAGTCTCAGAACCAAAATTACATTTGTCTTTGTTTAGAGTAATTTTATACTTTGCTACAGTTGCCATAAATTTTGCTAGATTAGCATCATGAGTAAGCCTATCCTTACCACAAACAGTAACGTCATCTAAATAAGCATAAGTGTCAGTAAGATTTTCGTTAGATATGATAAATTGCATCGTTCTTTGAAATGCTGATACTCCATTTGTTACTCCAAACGGTATACGTGTAAATTGAAATAGATTACCGCATGCTTCAAATGCTGTATAAGGTCGTTCTCTCTGTTGAATTGGTACTTGATGGTAGGCACTTTTGAGATCAATTTGGCTAAAATATTTATTCCGTGCAATTTTTGATATAAGTACTTCAATATTAGGTAAAGGATATGCATCAAGTTCTGTAAATTTATTTATAGTTTGAGAATAATCAATAACGAGACGTTTACGATGGATACCACCGCCAGTTACTAGAACTTGTGCCCGCCAAGGTGATATACTTGGCTCAATGATTCCATCTTTTAATAGTTTTTCAACTTCTTCTTTAATAAATTGTTGATCACCCTCGCTGTAACGTCTTGATTTTATTGCTACGGGTTTGACATTAGGAGATAAATTTGAAAATAATGTAGCATGAGGTAAGTTAGCAGCCATGACATTACATATCTTCAAAGGATCTCGGGGACCACCAAACTTCAGTTCTAAGGAGTGATGAGCTTTAAGTAAGTCATGACCTAGTATAATATCAGCGCATAAATTACGTACAACTAATAATTTGACATTGTCGTACAAATGATTATTCAATTGTAAAGTTGCATTGCAGTAACAGTTGACTGGTGATGTATGATTAAGTGAAGCTAAAGTTATAATTTGTTGACAATGTTTCTGTTTAAGTTTCAATAAGTGCGCTAATTCTTCATTTACAAAGTTTAATGAGCTTCCAGTATCGATAAGGGCTTCAGCATAATACTTATTAATGGTGATAGGTACAGTTGCTTTATGTAAACTAGGTAAAGAAGCTGCAGATATAGCTGCAACCTCTGCAGAGTTACTATTATTAGTCTCATTTACTATGACAGCATTCATAGTTTGTTTGCTTCGACAAACATTAGCAAAATGTCCCTTTTTAAAACAAATTTGACAAGTGCTATTTAAAGCTGGACATCTTATCCGCTGATGAATTACATTACTACCACAAAAGAAACATCTTCTTTTATTTGTTGTGGCAGCTATAACGGTTTCTGCTATATTATCTCCTGATATGGATGTAGACGCTTCATTATCGTAAGAAGACAAAGTTTTGGTTTTTTTATTTTGTGAATCAGATAAGGTAGATATGGAATCAACTGCGTTAAGCGGTATGTTATCATTGAAAGATCGAGAATTTGTTTCTGCCATTTCTAGTGAAAGTGCTTGGTTAAATGCTTGATCAAGTGACAGTTCCAGATTTTCTAGCAAACGTTAGCGTATTTTGTGTGAAGAAATACCAGCAATAAATGCGTCCCTGATATATTCTGATCGATATTGTTCTGCTTTGACATCCTTGAAAGAGCATTTTTGAGCAAGTAATTTAAGTTGACGTAAGTATTGATCTATAGATTCATCACTACGTTGCTTTCGAGTGCCAAGAATATGACGTGCATGTATTTCATTTTTCTGTTTAATATAGATTCCATTCAAAATTAAAATAGCCGATTCATAATCAATACATTCTTTTATGTTTACATACACACTGGGAGATAAGTGATTAATTAAAATTTTTAGTTTATGTTCATCAGTAAACTCACCATTATTTTCTGATAGGAAATTGTTAAATGTATATAGCCAATGCGTCCATTCAATATCGGCATCAGTAGAACTCGGGTCTAACTCAAATCTTTCCGGACGTAGATATCGTGCTAAACTTGTAGAAGCCGGCCCTGGCATCGACATTATATCTGCTTCAATCTTTTTACTGCGACTTTTTTTGACATTGTTAATTGTATTTTATTAGTTGAATTAATTGATACAAAACGATATAGACCATAAGGAAATATTGGTTTAATTCAACTAAAATGCTAGTAAGATATACATGTTGAAATGTTACAATATGACAAGACAATAAAAAAACAAATCATAGTATTATAAAGAGTTTCTATACTACCACAATTTTGATTGTCTATTATTTGACATAGAAAAAAGATATATTGACATTCATTGACATTAATCTTATATCTGATTTACATTTGATATACACTAATATAGGGTTGAAAGACGGGTTTTATGAAGTTGTGTTTTAAGAAGGAATTGTATAGTACAATTCCTTCTTAAAAACCCGTCTTTCAATAATTTTTTTAGCTTAAATATATACATATACAGTCCTTCGATAACAGGTAGGTACGATGAGATTGTCATCCACACATTTTGTGTACAAAAATCCCATAAAAATACTAGTCGGCAACAAAAATATTTCATTTGGCATACCAAGTGAAGATTTGCTTTCTAAAAACTATTCCCCGTCAGTATTAGAGATTTTTACCTATTAAAAATGTGTACCTCCGAGCCGATTTTGTTGGCGAGTTACGGGGTTAGCACTTTGTTATTATTTTATAGGACAGGTCTCGTCTCGTTTAGGCCGACTATTTTGCCCTACTCATTTATTGTGGATACACGATCGATTTTTTAGATCTATTTTTCTAGGGTTGCTACCTTTCTTATTGGGTACCCTATGACATCAAAAAATAAATTGTAAGTATTGTCGCAATTTCAGACAAGT